AATGGTACACGGTGTAAACTCATTCCGAAAAATAACAATGAAATGTATGTAGGCTATATAAAGAATGATGGTACACAAGTTAAAGTTCCATTAGACAACAACTGCTACTTAAACTTATATGGAGACGAACAAAAGAAATATTTCCGAGTTTATGAAATGGCAGATATGACATTGCCTGACCCAGCTCCAGCACCATATTATTATGACTATGGTGTTGACGCACGTGTAGACCCAAAAAAGCAAACATTATATTTAGAATATTATAGATTAAAAGATATAATGCAATAGAAAAAACGAGAATAGTATATTAATATAGATGAAAAAATAAATATTATAGTCAAGATTTTACCTACCCCGAAACATAAGATTATATTTATAAAAATATTCTGACACAAACCAAGAAGAAACCAGAAATAGTTACACTATATTTTAAGTTCAAAAGAGACAATCCTATATTATCTCATATGTTTGATTTAATGAACCCAGTAGGTTCTATTTATACATCTATGGAAGCAAGAGGTTCAAGTAATGTTTTGGTGTTGGTGCATGGGAACAAATAGTTGACAGGTTTTTGTATTGTGCAAACTCTTCAAAGGAAACAGGAGGAAGTAAAACGATTTCAGGTGAAAATTTACCTGCGCACAGTCACTACATAGATTTAAGTACATCTCAAGCAGGTTGGCATAAGCATAAATTTTGGGATTGGTCAGCAATGAAAAAAGGTAAAGGATATGATGTTAAAGACGACGTTCAGTTTGCTATAAATTGTTTCTGGGGTGACACTCAGGGAGATGGAAACCATACACATCGCGTTTCGGGATATACGCAAACAACGGGACAAAGTAAAGACTACATGCCACCTTACATGACAGTTTACGCATGGTATAGAATTGCTTAGTCGTCATTTTCAACTTCTTTAGCATATTCGTCAGAGTTGTCTTATATTTGTTAGGAACTGTCTTTGAAAGTATACCACCTTGAACTTTGACAAGTTTGAAACGAGGTCTGACAATAGTATTTTATCTTCTGCTTGCAGTCTGTACATTTTGCCATGTTTGCCTAAAACTTCATAATATTCTCTTGTATACTTTCTTCTATTTTTACGAACACGAATGTGAGTACCTGTCGGGTTCCCATTGTTGTCATAGTCAATAGTATTTTCATATGGTCGCGTTTAGGTATTTCTATTTTTACTTTGTCGCCTTTCTTAAGTTTGAAGCCGGCATTCTTTCTTGTTTGTCTCTTTTGACTAAATTATTAATATATAGTCTTTCTCTAAGTCAGGGTTGTTTTTCATTTCTTCGGGGAGTGGTTTCCCAAACCTTTTTGTTTACGGCTATTGTAAATATTTAAAACTTGTCTCATCTTTGCCATGGAGAAGTGTCTATATTTGTCGTCATATGACATTTCATTTGCTTCAGCACCTTGTGGTTGGTTTAAGTCTCTTAACATTTTTATACATCCGTCAATGACACCAAGAGCAGAATGGTTTTGGTCGACAATGAAATATTGGTTTACATTTTTTGAACGCAGATAGTTTTTACATCATCTGATTTGAAAGAACTTTCACAGTCAGATGTCAGTTTTGTTGGATGGTATTTGTCAACGAATATTGTCAAAGCAGTTTTCACATCTAAAATATTTTTGGACCATAATGGTATGGTCACAGTATCTTGTGTTTTGACCGACAAATATTAGCCAGTATGGTGGTCCATCTTCTCTATACCTCGGAATGTTTTCCAAGATATCCATTAAACCAAGCATTTGGTGTTGAACTAAAGATTTTTATCATGAGTGCTTTCTTTGTCGCTTTAGAAACATAGGGGTCCTTGTTTGGATTCGTCATTTTTTAACCCATAAGAATGGGTTTATTTGCGCATTAGCAGGAGTTGCATCCAGATTTTTGCCCGCAGTGGAACAATAGCCAGAGGTGTATTTGGAGTTGGAAGGAAGATTTTTGAGTACATTAGGTATACTTAAGAAGAAAGCACAACCTATTATACAAACTGTACAGAAAGGTTGGGATGTAGCACGAGATGCAGCAAATCTTATTCCAAATCCTGAAACAAGAGGAAAAGTTCAAGGATGGATGGACAATGTAGGAAGACAAGCAGGAAACTATTATAACCAAGCAAATGACTACTATAACCAGCAGGACACTATATGGACCAAGGTGAAAGATTCTTTAACAGAGGATATAACCATGCACACAGTGGGTAAACAATAACCAACCGCAACCACCTCAAACTTGGGGAATGTAAAAAGTTTTTTTACTGAGATGAAATGAACAATACAGCATTGAGACAAATGGGCTCAAGATGGATTTGTCGGCTTCCAGCAGTTACACCACCACGTGTTTGTCAAGTCCTCCCTATACCTCAGGAAGTTTTAGACCGACTTAAAAAACAACAACAACCAGTTGAAAACAAACCAAACTAAAATTTTTTACTGAGATGAAATGACCGAAGAAGTTGAAACGGTAGATTTGACACCACAAACAAAAAGTTCAGAACCATTGTCAAAACCTGTCAAAGAACTTACAGATGAAGAGAAAAATTCAATAATAGAAAGTGCCAGGTCTGGAAATACAAACCCTAACTACAAAGTCACTTTTCATAGAAATGGAACGGCTAGTATCTCAAAAAAGAAACAGACTCTCACAAATAAAATATTGAAGTCTGAAGGAGCTTTCGAGACAACAGATGGAAAAGTTTACTTCACTGACCAACAGTTCATTATAGAACATCTCATTGACTTAGAGTCGAAATATTCTAAACTTTACAACAAACACAAAAAGTTGAAAGGAAAACAAAAACAGATGGCATATGATATTTATGAAGATGTTGACGACACAACTGTTCCTGCAGGTGGGGAAAAGTCAGAGGAACCGAAAAGTGACGAAAAACCGATAGAAGAAGAAAAACCAAAAACTGAAGATAAACCAAAACCAAAGTTTAGTTTCAATACTAAACCAAGTCAACCTTCATTAGCTGGTATGGGTTGGCGTCAAAGACTTATGGTAGCTGGTGGTTATGTTAAGTAAAGGAAAAAACATTTTTCAAAAAAAATATTTTTTTATTTTTATTTGAAATGTACGCTGAGTTTGTTGGAACAGACCGTTGGGAAACTTGTTTGTTAGATGAGAAATATGAAATTCACTGTTGTGAGTCATTTGAAGTCAGAAACAAAAAGACAAAAAGAGTTTTAAGCGGATGGGAGCGAAATGACGGATATGCTAATATGAAGATGAGTGGAAAAAACTATTTTAAACATGTTGTCATTGCAACTCATTTTATACCGAACCCTAACAATTTACCTTTTGTAGACCATATAAACCATATAAGAAACGACAATAGACTTGAAAATTTACGCTGGGTCACTTGTTCTGAAAACAGTAAGAACATAGGCAAATTTCGAGATATTGTATTCGAATTTGTCGACGAACTAGAAGATGAAGCAATTGAAATTACAGACTATGGCGAGCATACGTTTGAGTTTTACTACTATAGCGAAGAACAAGACTCTTTCTACTTTTATACCGGCGTAAACTATAGGAAATTACAAGTATGTTTTACTAAGGCGGGCTATGCTCATGTAAACGCTAGAGATACAGATGGAAAATACGTTCAAATACATCTTAACAAATTCAAGAAGCTATATGGCATACCATTTTAAAACATTTTTTTATTTTTATAAAAATGCCCCCGTATAGAATGGATAGAAGGTCTGCTAGAATAAAAGCAGAGTTAGAAAGATATGGTTGGAGAGTTTCAAAGAAGTTTAAATATAGGAAGGGAAGACCCATAAAAGTCTATGACAAATTGTCTGGTCTTCGCTACGAAATGGATTTGGAAACAGCACGTGCAAATTATCCAAACAGACTAGAGAGGTTAGAAGAAGAACGTCTTATGAACTTGCCTTTCAATGTTAGTGAACCTCAAGTTGAAGGACACGACGGCTTTGCCAGATTCTACTGGAAACATGACGAACAATTGCATCCCTTGAGAAGGAAAAAAGGAAAAGGTGAAGACAAACATGCTCCCATGGAAAGAACAAGATATGCATATGAAAAGTATCGTGAAGTTAGAAGTCAAATTACATCTGGTCGAACCTTTACAGTAAACTTTGACGAAGGAAAGAACAAAGAAGGCTTCATGGGAGTACTTGCTGCCATTCAAGACGGAAATAAGAAAGGATACAATCTCAGACTAACCGTAACAGATTTAGATGGTCATATATACTATGCCCATGGCAATGTCACAACAGCCGCACAACTTCTTGACGCTTTCAAGACTACAAAGAGAGAACAAATGGTTGACTCCGACTCAGACATTTTGAATGCAATTGAAGGAATTGCAAGTGTCAAGTTCGAATGGTACCAACCTAACCCTCAAGCAGTCAGACAACATGCTGGATACTTTCCGTTCATAAATAAGTCTGACATTGACTTGACAAGGTATGGAATTTACAATTCAATTGAAACAATTGTCAATGAACCTTGTATTCTTACATGTCTCAGGAACTCTGGTCTTGTTACAGAAGAGAAGATGAAGTATCTTGAGTCATGTGTGAAGACAAGGTACATTCTCAGAGGTCAATTGGCAAAAATTGCACCGTTGGCAAATGTGAATATCCGAGTCAACATTCCGACTGAGAAAGGTTCTTCACATGACGACTATGTTGTTGACAAAGACTTACCATGGTTGAAGATTGTACTTGTCCACAACCACTTCATGTTGAACGAAAGTCTTACAAACCCATTGTTCGGAAAAGGCAAGTGCAACATTGTCAGAGCTGTAAACATTCTTTTCGAGAAAGGTTTGTTGGAACCAATTCCAGATGACAAGCTGACAGAAACTTTTGTACCAAAAGACGAAACAAACTTTTCATTGTTAGCAAGACCAAAAGTTGTTCCAGACAAAGTTCTAGTACAAAAGAAGTACACAATTCCAAAAGGAGTTGGATTGTTCGGATACCAACCTGAACCAGAAGAACTTCCAATGAGGTTGCAAGAACTTCAAGATGCTATAAACAAACTTCCATTGAGACATCCAATTGACGTCAAATTGTATTGGAGAGCATCTGAGTTAGGTCAGAAGGTTTTATATGAAACAGGTTGCTTCGACGATGTTTATGAGATAACAGGAGAAGTTTCTCAGAAGATAAGAGACTCACTTGAATTTCCACAAACTGGACCAATTGGTTGCGACAAGTTCGACTCAAACGAAAAGATATACTATGTCGACCTTAACGCTGCATACATGAGGTTTGTCCAATATATTCCGACTGGAATTCCAAACGAAGATGGTGAGTTCCTGGGAAGGAACTATACAGTTGGAAAAGTCATACAACAACTGTATGATATTAGGAAAGCTTCAAACCCCAAACTTGCAATGACACTCAAATTGCTTATGAATTCGACATGGGGATATTCTATTAAAAAACCTCAAAAGATGAAGAGTAAACACTATGAGAAGGTCGACAACTTTGTTGAAAGGTTTTCTCCTTTTGTTTTGAAGTACGAGTTCACCGAAGGTCAAAATGGCTTAGTAACCACATTAAAACCTATTGTCGAACATTGGTCTTACCCTCAGTTCGCAAAGGCAGTCCTTGACAACTACAACAAATTCTTCTCCGAAGTCAAATCCAAAGTTGTGGTTTACTATGAGAACATTGACGCACTCATGACGAACGAAGAAGGGTACAACAAACTCATTGAAATGGGAATGGTCGGTGAAAAGATGGGCTGTTTTAAGCTAGATAAGGTATTTTCCGAAGTTCATGTCCTCTCCAAGCGTAAGTACTGGGGCATACTTGAAGACGGCACAGAAATAAAACATTGCATGAAATAAAAAATTTTTATATTCCTTCCTAGCTAATTTCCGTTTAATTTCATGGTCGCCCTCGGAGTCTTTGAATCGGACAGGTCGAGTTACACCATTCTTGGTCTCAAACTCATATATAACCTGTTTGTCTGTATTTGAATTGGAATTCCAGTCGAAGTCTCGAGATTCAAGGCAGCCCTTCCAGAAATAGTGGTGAACTTGACCTTTGGCTTCATGACCTTGCGCAAGTAGTCTTTAACAAGCTCGTTAATTTAAATTAGGTAAACTGCCTCATCTAATGGCTCGATGTTGTCCATTGCTACTGTCAGAAAAAGTACTGCTACTGTCAGAAAAAGTACTGCTTCTGTCAGTAAAAGTACTGCTACTGTCAGTAAAAGTACTGCTACTGTCAGTAAAAGTACTGCTACTGTCAGTAAAAGTACTGCTATTGTCAGTAAAAAGGAAAATTTGAGAGGGTTTTCGACGATAAAGTACTGCTACTGTCAGTAAAAGTACTGCTACTGTCAGTAAAAGTACTGCTACTGTCAGTAAAAGTACTGCTACTGTCAGTAAAAGTACTGCTACTGTCAGAAAAAGTACTGCTACTGTCAGTAAAAGTACTGCTACTGTCAGTAGCAGTACTGCTAGTAGCAGAGATTTTTATCGTTGGTGGTCCGACGGTTAAGCCACAAAAGAATGTCCGACGTCCCACCAAAAAATATTTTTTATTTTTATTGTAAGAACAGAAATGTCAGTCGAAGCAAAAACGTTCACGAACAAATCTAATGGCGAAACATTCACAAAAGGCACTTACAACGGTATTGAAGTCTTACGTAGAGACATGGATGGTTATGTAAATGCAACAAAGATGTGTCAGCAGTTTAGGAAAGACTTTAGAAGGTTGTTGGAAAATAAGTCCTGGGAAGAGTATTTTAAGGCATTTTGTGAAGAATATACCAACCCGCGGAAAACGGCGGGTTGCTTTTTATACAAAGTTCATGCAGGAATTCCGGATGAAATCAAACAGGTTAGAGGAATGTATGTAGACCCAAGACTTGTAAACTATATTGCAATGTGGGCTTCTCCAAAATATTGTATAGCAGTTGGAAAAATTATGGACTCCATAGACAAGAAAGTTCATGAGAAGTTAGATGAAGAAGAACTTGAAGATACAGTAGAGAATGCAAAACCTTTGTTTGAAGAAGAAGTTAGAAAAATGCATGAAAAACAAATAGAACATGAACGTGAGATATGTTCTGGTTATAGAGATTCTCCATACGAACTAGACCAATGGGAACAAGAAGATTTAAAGAGAGAATTTAGAGAATATGAACTCGCTAAGATAACATTAGAAGCTGCAGAAAAGAAGTTAAAAGTTTGGGGTCGTTTTGTACAAAAATATTGTGAGTAAATGAACCATTTTTTTTCGACAAAAATATATTTTAGGGTAGATGGTTAGATCTAACCTCATTTCTAACCTCTTTTCTACCCTCGTAGAAAACACACAAAACTCTTGAATTTTGTTGCTGAATTCAATAAAAATAATGTTTAGGTGAAGAGGTGAGATTTCACCTCTTTTTTCACCTGTTTTTTCACCCTCTTGAATTTTCCCGAAATAAAAAATAAAGTTGGTTTTTTTAAAAAAATATTTTTTTATTTTTATTGTAAGAACATGTTAGCAACAACAGCACCAAACTCGTTAGTCATGAACCCAACATCTATGTTAGTAGAGATGAAAAGCTTCATTCCTTCTTCATATACTTTCGAAACAGAAATCCAGAAGATAAAGCAAGAACTTTTAACAAATAATTTAGACTGTAGTGCGAAAGATGAAACAAATGAACAGTATCTTTATGAAATGCAGGACATTATTGACCATTTACCTAAACTACCTGAAATCAACAACAAAAAGCTCACTATTCCAGAATTCGATGAAATAGAAGTCAAAGCAACTGACTCAGTAGAAATAAAGAAGTTCATACGTAAGGTTAACTATGAGTTTCTTGGATTTCATTGCAACCACAAAGTTATGGACAAAGATTGCGATATGGTATATAAAAATGTTTCTGACATATACAAATCTGAAGAATTTAAGACCTACGACAACTTTGTTTCGTTAGTTGCAAAATGTGTATGGCAGATAAGAGATAAAGATAAAAGAGGTAAGGTATGGAACGAACAGATAAAACCAGTAACTTTTGAGTTAAAGAAAACCATTGACGCCTTAGTCATACTTGCAGGTAAGATTTCAATGTACAATGCTAAAATGAACCCACAATGTTCAAAATGTAAAGCAGCAATGAGGAAATATAACTATTCTGTCAAAGAGATAGAACGTATGCGAAACGACTATGCTGACTTAAAGAAAGAAGCAGAGAAACCAGCAGAAGATAAAATGGACATGTTGACATTTCTAAACAAAAACTATCCAACAGCAGAAGATTTCCTTCTTTCAGATGTCAAGAAGAAGTATAAAGAAACCTTCGGCATAGTTAAAACATTCGATGTACTAAAAGAAGAAATAGAAGCTACGAAATTGTTTAGGATTTCAAATATACATCATACAATTCATGTAAAACGCTTATAAAATAACAGGTGAAAAAAGAGGTGAAAAAAGAGGTGAAATCTCACCTCTTCACCTAAACATTATTTTTGCTGAATTCAGCAACAAAATTCTGAGTAAAATTCTGAGTAAAATGGCTTGTGTCAAACCGTTGAGTTTTCACAAAATTTAAAAAATAACGTTTACCATGTGAAACGCTTATAAAATAACTGAGGTGAAAAAAGAGGTGAAAAAAGAGGTGAAATCTCACCTCTTCACCTAAAATATATTTTTGCTGAAAAAATGACCAAATTTCATGATATAACTGTATTTTTTTGACGAAGAGAACTTTTACACTTCGTAAAAAAATTCTATGAAATCATATCTTTTATACAAGATAGAAAAAATAAAATTAAAGTTAGTTTTATTTTTTTTTTATTTTTTTATTTTGTATGTAAGAACAGGAAATGTTAAACATTGAGTTTGAAACAGTTAGAAAGATAGACAATAACACCAAAGTGGTTAGAATAGGTGATTTAAACGTAAGATACTCAAAGAAATACAACAAATATTCTTTGTCAGACATTATATCTCCATCTGGAAAGAAAACATCCCACGACTGGGTTAGAATTGCTTCTACTCAGAAAATTTTGACAAGAAATCCTGAGCTTTTGATATCGGTAAGATTTCATGGAACTACAGCATATCTCATTGACAAAAGTCTTATACCAGTAGTTTTGTTATGGGTAGACCCAGTTGTTGGATATAATTTCATAACATATGGTTCGTTCGATACGGAACGTTGCAGTGAAGGCTTACTTTACATCGTTCAGAAACCGAAGGACTTCAATACAAAGAGATATAAGATAGGAAGAACATATAATATAAGTAGTAGATATGACTCTACAGTCAATAGAGTTAAGGTTGTGTTTGTAAATGATATGAGAGCTGCAGAAACAGAACTACTTGAAAAGTTTGAGAAGATGTATGGTGCTCCCACGAAAGGTAAAGAAACGTTTGAAGTAGATGAGATAGATAAAGCTATAAAATTATTTGACGAAGTTGCTGAAAAATACATGTAAAGCGTTTATTTTTGGTCTTTTATACAAGATAGAAAATAAAGTTAGTTTTATTTTTATTTATTTTTTTATTTTGTATGTAAAGACAGATATGTCAACAACAGAGAACACAACAACAGTTATAGTCCATGAAGCTATAAATGAAGAATACGAGTACATACAGTTTAACAAACAACTCCGTCTCATTCGTTCGGTCAAAGACGATATGTACCAAATGCAAAGTATTTTGAATACTCTTCGTTCTACAAAGCAAGCATACCATTGGTTTGAAAACCAACAGACAAAAGAACTTTTAGAAGAATTTCCTCATATGTTTGCTACCCTCGGAAAACCGAGGGTAGAGATTCCGTACGAAAATCGCAAGAATTTGGCTCCTGGTTTGAGAGGTTGGTATGTACATAGACTTCTTGTAAATGCTGTTGCAATGTGGGCGTCACCTCGCTATGCTTGTTATATTTTCATGATGTTAGATGAAATTCATAGACAAGAACGTGAAGAGATGGAAAAGAAACTTCAAGCAAAAGATGAAGTCATTGAAGCAAAAGACAAAAGCATTCAGAAAAGAATACCACGTTCGGTACCAAAAGGAAAGGAAAAGAACTATAAGTATATGATTTATACTGAAGAGATGGAAAATGAAGAAGACAGAGATATGGTTATGTTGCATTTAGTCAGAAGAAACAACAAAAGCTTTTACGACCTTGCTAAGATTTACAAATCTGACAGAAATTGGTTCTATCGCGAAAACTTACCGATTTCAATGACTCCAAATGAAGATGTGAAACAAATAGTTCAAGATACGTTACCTCAAACACACTATGATATTAAAGGTTGTACAATACTTACATTCAAAGAAGATTTACCATTGTTAAAGGAAAAAATAACAGAGTATTTTGACAACTTCAAAGAGGAAGAGTAAATGAACCATTTATTTTTCAGGCAATTGCCTCGTCAAATCCTTCTGGCATTCCGAGTCCTTCCTTCCGACAGAAAAAGTTTTTCCTTCCGACAGAAAAAGTTCTTCCTTCCAACAAGAAAAAAATTTCCCGACAACTGGAAAAAAATTTCCTGTTGTTCGTCCGTAAACCATTCAAATTTTCGAAAATTGAGAACTTTTTGGTCGAACTTCAGAAAAAGTTTTTCCTTCCGACAGAAAAAGTTTTTCCTTCCGACAGAAAAAGTTTTTCCTTCCGACAGAAAAAGTTTTTCCTTCCAACAGGAAAAGTCCTTCCTTCCGACAGGACACAAACGAATGTCCGACGTTCCTCTTCCTGAATGTCTTCCCAAGCCAGAAGAACCGACAGCCCCAGCACCACAACAGACTATGACTCAAACTCTTTATTTTTCAAGCTTGACTTTTTACAATTTGAACTTTGTTTGCGTAGATATGAATTCTGAAAGAAGTATGAGGGTCTTGTATGACTTTGTACTTCTCCCATAGTTCATGTCTGTCAAACTTACCTGCCATGGACTCTTTCATAAGTTCCATGAAATCGTCTTCGGACAATCCAGGGAAAAGTATAATGTCAGTAAGTATTCTTTTAACATCCTTACTTAAACTCTTTGCTGTCTGTACACAAATGACAACAGAGATGTTAAAGTGTCTGAGCTTCTTAAGAATTCGACACATGTCTTGTTCTCTATTCTTTAACAAAGGATGAGAAGCAAAGTCATCTAAGATAAGAAGACATCTATGAGGGTATGTCTTCCAATCGTAAGATTGCAATTTCTTCGAAAGGTACTCAATCTCTTTCTGTTTGTTTCTGAAGTGGTGTTTGTCTAATATTCTCTGCATTTCCTCATTTGGGTCTTTAAACTTTGAATTGACATACTCATTTATAGCATTATACTTCAAAACTCTTCTTTGGTACTTCTTTATCCAATCTAACAACTCAGTATCCTTTATACATACTAACTTAGACTTCTTTATAATATCTTTGAACGAATTGACGGTTTGGTCAAATAGACCAGAAGTCGAACAAATAACAACTAACTCATAGAATGGGTTCTTCTCATCTAGTTCTTGTTGTTGTGCAGCCATTTTAAGATAAGTGAAAGTCTTACCCGACCCAGGTGGTGCAATTAGACCTGTTATACCATTCTGAGCAAATAAGAACTTGTCATGTATAGGCTTTATCTGAGCATTTTCTAACTTCCTCTTGTTCTTGTTTAAAACATTCTCAAATTTCTTGTCAATGTCAGCAAACTTTTTTTCTAACATATTTTTAGAAAAATTAAAATTTTTATCTTTTTGAAAATGTCTAGCGATTTCGCTATCTATATTCGAGACAAACTTTTCGACAGCAAAACATCTGTCGACCATAAAATCTTACATAGTGTAAACAAGAAAGGTGAATTTGTTCTAAAGTTCTGTTTCTGGGAATATGACAAGAACCATAAAACATTAGGCAGAGAAGTCTTTAAGTTTGTCAATGACAGACTTGTTGACAGAGATGACGCCGATTGGAGAGATGAAGTCCAACAAAAGTTCTTAGAATGCAAAGAAGACACATGCGCTGTTCTTGAAGATGAAATAGAAAACAGAATAGATGAGCTATTAAAGGACAAAGAACTTTTACATAAATATGGTTCGGAGAAATTTGACATAACTCCACCAGAGAAGAAGAAGAAGAAGAGAGAAAAGAAAGAAAAGAAAGTAGAAGAAGAGAAAAAAGAACCTGAACCAGTTCCAGAGAAAAAGAAATTTGACATGTAAAAATAAAATTTTATTTTTAGAACATTTCTGGGTCAATGTCAATGTTCTCTTCCTCTTTAGGAGTAAACACTGGCTTAGACTCTAAAATCTTTTTACCCAATTTACCTTGAACTTCAACTATCTTAGACTCATAATATTCATAGTCGTCTGTCTTCTTTGGTTCATAAGGTATAACAAGTTTGTATGCTTTGCCTTCTTTAAGGTTTGAAAACCTTCTGTCAAAATTTTCTTTGACTGCTAACAAACCTTCTATGTCTAAGTCTTCAAATTTCGCACCACTTTTTTAGTCACAATAGCAAACTTAACTGGTTCGATGTTCCAAACTTTGTCAAATGTAGACTTTTCAAAATGGTAGAAGTAAACATTCAAATAGCGAATGTGGTCTAGTTCTTTCTTTGACTTCTGTCATGTACTTGTTGACTGAAATATATTTCGTCATCTTTTCTATCGGATAAAAAAATATTTTTTTTAAATTTACTCAGAAAAATTTTTCTTTGTATATACGCCGTTCTGAACATCTAAAAGATTTTTGACATTTGCCAAGAATGTACGTTTAGAAGCTGCCATATAACCATACTCTTGACAATATTGTTTATATGAATCGTACAATGACCTTTCATCTAAACACTCAAAGTTAGTCTCATCTATAAACAGTTCATATACACTCTTGTTTGCTTCTAAACAATGTTTGTCTTTCTTCGGTATGTGGAATTTGTCTTGGATTGAACTTTGAAATATCTAATGTCATGAAATATGAGAACAAGTGGTTGTAAAAGTCAGATGTCAAAGTTTCTGACAAAGCGTCAAAATATTCTGTATCTTGCATATGAGAATCTGACGTTCTGACAACTACATATCTTCTGTCAGAACTTTCTAACTTCATCGGAACAACATTGTTTGAAACCATGACGAAGTTTGCAACATTTTCACAAACTCTTTGGTCTTTATATTTTCTTTCAACAACTCCAACTTTGTCTGTTATAAGACTCTTCAAAGCATCTGAGTTTAAAACTTTTGTTGTATCTATACTTTGAAGTTCGTTACATACTATAAGTTTCATATTCTCTATTGAAGAGTTAAATTTACCGCAGATGTTTTCTATGTTTGTCATATTAGGGTTCGAATAGCCCTCTAACAGTTTGCATAAGATATCTGTAAAGAAAGTGTTCTTACCTGTTCCTTGTTTTCCAATTATGATGAGAGCAGTTTCATTTTTAGCACTTGGATGTTGTAAGATGTTTGCAAACCAACATAAGATATACTCATAAACCTTTTCGTTTCCATTGCATATAATTTCTTTGACATGGTCTAACCAAGCTTCTATAATATTTTCTTTCCATTCTACTTGTTCATATTTATATCCAGTGAAGATAGAATAGAAGTTTGGAGAAGGTGTATAGAACTTTATACCTCGAACTGAAAAATCTTCAAGTTTTGACAATAAGATATCCCAAGCATCTAACATCTTCATGCCAACTTGTACGACTTTTATTTTCTTAAGTTTCTGTTTACATTCTTGTTCTGAAACTATTGTCGCTTTAGGTTTGTTAAAGACTACATCCCATTCTTTCATGACATAACATTCTGGGGCAGAGTCAACATAAATGACTAAACGTTTCAAATTCTCGACTGCTTTGTTATAGTCTCTAAATGGACACATATTTCTGAAGGCTTGGAAGTCATAAAAATCTGAAACATCTATTCTGTACATTTTTATAAAAATAAAAAAAAATATTTTTTTTATTTCTTGACTTTGTTGTTGCATTTGTTCCATTTGTTGCATTTGTTGTTCTTGAGCTATTTGTTGTTGAAGTTGTTCTTGTAATACAATACTTTCACCAGTTGCATCTTCCAATTCGAAACTTTCTGCCGTCATTGACAAATACATAGGACATAAAAGTTTTACAGGAACAAAGTTTGCGTCAACTAAGGTTAAGTTTATGTTTGCTAAAGTGTTTGAGTTTACTAAAGCTGAAAATTCTGCATTCGAATGAACAATAGGCAACCAGCAGAGAAAGTTTGTTTTATACGCATGAGTATCTTTTGGTCATAGTAGTTTCTGTCGACATTCGAATAGCACTTTGAACCTAAGTTTGAAACAATATATAAAATAGGTGTACTTAAAGTCAATGGAACAGACATTCCTTGTATTGACACCTTTTCCTGTTATAGGAAACTGTTGGTAGTAAAAACCAGATATAAGTTTTGTATTATAGCTCATATCGTTTTATACTAAACTCAGTCGGACATCCAAACATAATGAAACCTGCTCTAGTTGCAGCACATGTTTACATCCGTCCTTAAAGTATTAAATAAGTCAACAAAACCTGTTGGTGGTATATCTGAGTAAGTATCTTCAAAGGAGTATTTTTTACCATTCACAACAATAAAATCTTCTGGTGTCAAAAGAGCAAAACAGGCTTTAGTCGTCATCGTGTTTAAGGTCAGTTTACAATATCGTCCTTGAGGACTTTGTAAGTTTGTTGTTATAGAATTATATGACTCAGGGTTTTTAGTCGTAATAGTATAAACCACTATGTCTTCTGCCATTTTTATATATTTAAAAGTTTTTCTGAAAGTAGAGAAGAACTTCATCTAAACTTTCACATGGCGTTTCTTGAAGTTCTCTGTCTAGAAGTTCAAATATTTTGTAAAGACATAGAACTTTCCTTGTCTACACGAACAAACAAAACAGGGTCTTTTATCGTTCAAAAAAAGTCCTTTACATGAAATAAAGTCTATATTGTTTTTCTTCAAACATCTTTCAAGAAGTTTTGACATTTTTACTTAGCAAGTAAATTTTAATGAAATGTTGTGGTCGTCAAATATTTTTTATGACGTCTGGGAAACTATATTTTAAGTTCAACGTTTCACCTCCTTTCATAACGTATATCTTGTCAATGACATTATATGAAACACCACAGCAAGCAATGTCGGGTTCTATTTCTTTGATGTTTATATCGTCTGCCTCTGTCAAAAGTTTCAATAGTTCTTTCAAAACTTCATGAGGTGCGATGACATATGAGTTCACTTTTACAGGGTTGTGTTCGACCAAGTTTAACATTATACCCAAAGCCTGACAAATCTTCTCCTGAGTTTTAAGTTTGTCTTTAAGTTGTTGGTAGTCGTTTCGAATATCTGCAACAGAACTTAAGTCTCTGCTAACTTCAGGGTATGTTGGTTGTTCTTTTACAGGAACTATTGTTATACCATCTTGGTCTTCGTATGGTTTCCCCACTTCAACATCTCTTTCTTTGACATTGACAACAACACTTTGACTGTTTGTTTGAGTTGGTGAATTTAACTTCACATCTGCCACCGCCATTAAACCTTTTGAAACACTCACGCTTCTATTTTTCGGAAATGACATTTTACTTCGAATAAAAATATGGACGTATTTGAGTATCTCTTCGAATTGAAGCAAAACAAAGTTTACACACACAAACAATACAAGTTCATTGACAGAGTAGTTCTTTACACAAACAATGGAAAATGTTATAGAATAGCAGTCTTTGCTGAACCAAAATATTTTCATAAAGCAAAGAAAGTTGGTATAACCGAGATGGTGAAAGTTCTTGAAGCAGACAAAAATATAGCAACAAAACTGACCGATATTTCTAAAGGAAAGTTTATAATACAATTTTATGTCAAAACAGGCGTACTGTCAATATTTGACGGAGAGAAGTCAGTTCAAGAACAACTTACTGACCTGCTGCCAAAATCTGCTCGATGGAAGCTGTCGTTATGCCAATCTGAGGAGCCCCAGCAGGTTTCATCGAACGAATCTTCAAAAGAGCATCTTCCGTGAAAAGTGCTATTGGTTTTGTAAACTTCTTTGCTTTCAATTCATTTGGACCGTCTCTGTCACCAGTATATTGTATTTGAACTGTACCAACAGTTGAAATACCACCCATAAAGTCTTCTGAGTCAGCAAATGGAATGCCAAGCCAAAAGTTTGAACGGTCTCCATTTGTATATTGAGTGTTTTGAGCTCCTGTATGAGTCCATACTTTCACATATGGCATAATAGAACTTTGCATTTCAGGGTTAATGGTTGTTGTGAAGTTGTTGTTAAAGTTCATAGCATCTAATGTCAAGTTGTATGACCTCATATCCTCAACTGTAGAATATTCTTCTCTTGGATAGTATTTGCCATCTATGTTTATATGATATTTAATACCGGGGTTGTAGAAACAAGAATAGTCATTTATAGTTCGTCTGAACAGTACAAACATAGTATCTGCATGTTTCATTGCAGTTGTTAAAGCAATATCTGTTCTTGCACCTGGGTCAGCACTTTGGTTTCCAACTTCACCTGCAAAGTCTTTGACAGATATTTGGTGTATAGGGAACATAAGTGGAACTGCAATATATTTGGCAGCTAAAGCATTTGAAATATCTGGGTCCAACATATAGACTGTAAGTCTGCTTTCTATTCTCTTGCATTCAAACTTTTCGCATGTGAACTTAACTGGGTCCCAAGCAGTTCCAGCAGCATTGAAGTAGTAGTTTACTTCAGTGTTGAGGTTTGAGAAACCAAAGTCTAAGTCAACTTTGTCTTTGCAAAAGTCGGCGAATGACGTTTTATTTGTTCCCACTACTTCTGTAAGAGTGAATGGGTCTTGTGTTGGTGCAATGACTAAGTTATTTTTGCTTGGAGTAAGTTCAATAGAAATTTTTCCTGCCCAGTTTGGCAAGTATCTTAAAAACCTGAAGATGAGGAAAGATGACAAAGGAACTCTAAGTTTCAGTTTTACTTTAGTGACAGCATTTCCATCTGAACCAGAAAGGTTAACATAAACTCCTGGAACGTTAGGGTCAAGTCTTCTTATTTTCTCAATAGTTGCATACTGGTCTGTTTGTTCTCTAGCTTGTGGTTGTACTGAGTTTCTCAAAGCGAACCATTCATAGTTTGCCCATGTTACTGTTTGAACTAAGTCAGAGTTAGAATATATCTTATATCCCATGAAAACTTCTGGAGCATATTGGTATCCGACATAGAAAATTCCATTGCAACCTTTCTTGTCAGACAACTTGGCAGAAGGTTTTATTTCAATGTCTTGTTCCACGTATAAGAAAGAGTTGTCAATAGAAATAATATGAAACCTGTCGCATGCAATATCTACTGTTGTTGAAGAACCTTCTCCAAACTCACCTACGTTTCCATAAGAAACAGCAGTTGTATATTCGTAAGTTCCAGGAACTATTTCTGACCTTCTAATGGCATTGTCGCATTCGTTATACCATTCGGAAACATTTCCATTCATGGCATCCAAAACTGTTGGCGTTATATTCTGAGCGGCGTACATTTCATATGAGTAAAAATATAGAATAGTTGGATTTATATGTCATAATAGAACCCACGTGGACCAAGCTTTACTTTCTTCCTGACTGAGTTTTAACTCTTCTTTTTCCTTCATTGCCACTACTTTCACTAGATGAAGTTACTTCTTCACTACTTTCACTTTGTTCTACTCTTCTTCTTTGGTGTCGCTTTGGTAACTTGCCCTCTGCTTCAAGTTGTTGCATCTTTGCCTCATGTTCACCTAGTATGTTGTAAATTTCCCATGTCCTTTTTGCCTTTGGGCTCTGGTCGCCCATCTCAGGTAACCTATATCCTAGAAAGAGTTTGTCATAGTTTGTATTTGAGTCTTTGCGTATTGTTTGCATGACTCTGTCCTGAGTTTCCGTTCAAGCTCTTCAAACAGTGCCTGTCCATATGAATAAGCTCGTTTCCAAATATATGTTTTTGTAGCCATTCTGGTTTTCTTTCCATGTTACCAACAATATCTTTTGTGAATGGGAAAGCTTTTACCCAATGTTTCAGTCTTGCGTCGTTTATTTCTGTAGTTGGTTTTATTTTGTCAAGGAACATGTTTTTCAATACTAACATTTCATTTGGTACTGTCCATTTGAGTTTTCTTAAATATTCATCCCTTCTCGGTTCATTGTCTGCAAAGTAAGTTTTTATGACATTTTGTAAACTTTCGTTTGCAAGGTCATGTACAATAGGTTCTCTTCCTTCTCTCTCCCTAACTTCTTTCTAAACTCTTCACCAAATATACCATCTCTATGTTCTGTGTAGTTCTTTGAGATAAATGTTCTAGAACGTCAGGTGTTATATTTCCATCAGCCATGTTCATTTCATACTGGTCCAAAATATCTGCATCTTTCATATCTTTCAATGGCATTAAAGCCGCGCTGAAAATACCAGCTATATCTGGTTCACCATTCACTTCCATTGCGTCTACAACTTCTTGGAATTGTGGTTGTAAGTTTATGAACCACCTATCCGGGTTAGCTTTATGACCCCATCTCATTGTAGTTCCATCGTCTGCAGAAACAAAAGTAGGTTTGTTTCCATCTTGGCTAGGTTCTGAATGAACTTTAAACAATGTTTCATTTCTATATGTTTCTTGAAATTTAACCTTTTATCTTCACCGAGTTCATCCGAAGATTGAACGTTGCTCGTAAGTAAAAAGGGTTTTGTATTTGTGTACATTTTCTTTCAGTGCTTCCATTCTATGCTGAATATTTTCATCTGATGTTGGAGTCTTTTGTATGTCGGCAAACATTTTTCGATATTCTTCTACTATGTCAGCCGAATTTTTTTTAGACTCTTGGAAATATTCCATATTCTCCGCATACTCTTGTTGAGGGTCAAGATTTTTCGGCTGTTCCAAATCTTCATCTAGTTCTGTGAAGTTAGTTTCCAAAGGAAGGACTTGTTCGTTTCCTTCAGGCTCTTCTAGCTGTTGTTGCTGAACTATTTCTTCCATGTCTGGTTGTATCTGAACTTCTTCCTGTGGAGTTTCTTGTACCTCATCTGCTGGCATTTCATATATTCCGAGACCGTTTTCAACAATTTCCCTATCTACGTCATCCGCATTCATAAGCTTTTGTTCTTTCGTTCCGTCTCTATTTTTTACGCGTTTCATGACGAAAGTTGAATTGTCATTTAGCTCTGACATCAAATATCTCGGAGTAAATTCATCCATGTCATTTGGATGATATGCTATTAAATCATATCCCTTAGCGAGCTTGTATTTTCCAGGTTTGAGATTATATCCGTTTTGGTGCTGAGCCATAAAGCTAAATAGGTTCGGTCAGTATTTCCATCCTTGAACTTTCTAATAGCTTCTTTATATCTGTCACTAAAGTCAACAGTATCTGGGAAACACACTCTTCTTTAAGCATTTTTAAGAATTCTTGGTTTCCTTGTTCTCTACTTCTTTTATGTCCTTGCTCTGTTTGTGGTTGTTGTTGTGCAGGGTTTTGAACTGTTGGTTGCTGTGCTGGTTGTTGTGTTGGTTGTTGTGCTGGTTGTGGAGGTGGTTGTTGTGCTGGTTGTTGTGCATGCCTGTGTCTGTGTCCATGTGACGATGTAAATGTGTTAGGTAGTCCTGGTGCAGGTGCTTCTCTTGGAGGGTTGGTGGTATATAAGTTCCACCAGCTGGCACATATGTTCCATCTGCAGCGTAATGTCCTACCTGACTTTTCGTTCTTAAGAAAGCATTTACTAGGTCTGTTTTGGTCTGTTGTAACTCTTTTTCTTGACTTTTCACAACAGTTGCTCTAACGGCGTCATAGGCACTTTGAACTGCCTGTCTCGTTGCTGCATCTGTTATTTTCGTCATATTTTGTGCTACTTCTTTTAACTCTTGTCGAAAACCTTCAGACTTCAGTTTCTTTCCAGATGAGAAGTCGTTCACTTGTTTCACCTTACTATGAAGAGCTTCGAAGGCGTTCTTAAAGTCAGCATTTGTTAAAGCTTCATTTGAACTGTCTTCATCCGCTTGTATTTTTGTCCTTATTGACCCTATGAGTTGGGCTGCTTTAGCGTTGGCTTGGGCATCTAACCAGTCATTGTTAGCTTTTATATATTCTGCGCTTTTCATTGCCTTTTGCATGGCTGCGTCGTTATTTTTACTTTCTTGTGCTAAGTTTTCATACTGTACGGTTTGGTTTTGCAACTGTAAAAGTTTTTCTGCCTTTACATTTGCTTCAACTTCTTTTTTATACTCATCGCTATCCATATATGTCTTCAGGGCTTTTTGTTTTATTTCTTCATCTTTCAGTACTTTATATTGAGTAGTATGGTTTTTTCAAATTTACACAACATCTTGTTCCATTTTTGCTACTTCTGCTGCTTTTTCTGACACTTTTTTCGCATATTCCTCTGTACTTAGTTCTTTCAGTTGTTTCTTCTTCTTCTTTTCTCTACGTTTAACTCATTGAGTTTCTTTGTGTGTCTGTCATATTCTAGTTTCTTTTCGTTTTCACTTATTTGCTTCTGTATGTCTATGTTTGACTTTTTGACATCTGTTATTTGATTTTTGAGTGAACTCAAATTCATTTGACTTTGAGGGTTATAGGCTGTTCCGTCTGCAGCTCCACCATAGCCTGCCATTTTCGCTAAAAGTGCCGCTCTTAAACCTCCACTCTGTGCACCAACAACTCGGTTTAAAAGCATAGGATTGCTTGACATTTGTTGCAACATGGTGGGGTCATTCAGCATTTGTTGTTGCAACACTGTTGTTGTGGTGTCAGTTTTACTATTGGATGTTTCAATGCTCTCTTCCTCTTACGTATATTCTTACGTAGCTTACGTGGCATTTTAAGTGAAGTTAAAAAGCGGTTTTTGACAGATGTTTATATGACACTTTTTGTTCAGCACAAAAAACTACTCAGTCAAAGTGTTGTCGGTTTTGTAAAATAACCGTCCTATCTCATTCTATAAGGGGAAAAGGCTTCTCAAAGTATACTTCCTTGGAACGCCCGTAACTTTTCCTGTAGCGACGATAGACCCTTACTTGTCCGGACAAAGTTATACTAAACATCTTCAGGGCTAGAGGGCACGAAGTGCCTGGAGGCCCCACTCCCTTTTTTTTTTTTTTTTTTTTTTTTTTTTTTTTTCATCCATATTCAATAACAATACAAATTAACACAATAAATCGTGATTCTACATCTTTCAACCGCCTTTCAATTTAAATGATATATAATGCGTTATAAGTTAAAACAATCAATTCCGAAGTGATAAAGTATCAATTTATTTTCAATATTTCAAGTTTTCATAAACAAACATAATAAACATGTACAATATATAGTCTCCCACTTGCTCTAACAAAAGTAATATAATTTACACAATTAAAGCCGTTTCAGTATATTATCGTTGTTACTACTACGCTTGTTGATAATAAACCTTACAACAAAGAAAGCAGCAACAGCTATTAAAGCAATAATAACTAATGAAACAAACATAGCAACTGTTGTCTTTGATTTTCCACTAGAAGATGTATTGCTCTCTGATATATTAGTTTGGTTTGTTGGCGGAGTTGAAGGTGACGAAGATGAAGGTTCTGAAGTTGGTATTTCAGGCTTTTCAGCTCTTAATTTATGATATTTTTTTCAAGAAATCTCTATTTTCTTTGAGATTTGTTTCATTTCCAAGATAAACAAGTGGCATATGACTTTGTTTGTAACCATTGATTGTCATTGAAGCTCTCATACCTGGATCGTGCCATAAAGTTGTCATCTTCAAATTTGTATCTAAGTTTGTAGTAAAAATAACAATTTCACTCCAATTAGATGCTGCCATTATGAACTCCTCTCTCCAATCTCCTAAAATATCACCATGGAATAAAGGATAATCTCCATCATCGTCATATTTCAAATCTGTCCCATATTTATTATTAAAACAAAGTGGTTGAAGTTAGGTAACGAATAGATTTGTTATTTTCATCATCAATTTAACTAATCCTCGATTGATGTAGAAGGACTAAGGGTTCCCTCCCAGTACAAATTGTTTGCTGGCCATAAGAAATCGGTGAAATTTTCAACCAATAAATCATTTGTTTTCTCATTATATAAACCATCGAACGAATATACTTCATAACCTGGCTTTGATGGATCAAAATCACCAGCATTGCCTCTTCCTAAGTCATGAACATATGTGCCATAATGTATC